GGATAATGAGCTATGGGACTTGCTTCTCCTGAACTTGGGAATAAGCTATGGGACTTGCTTCTCCTGAACTTGGGAATAAGCTATGGGACTTGCTTCTCCTGAACTTGGGAATGAGCTATGGGACTTGCTTCTCCTGAACTTGGGAATGAGCTTTGGGACTTGCTTCTCCTAAACTTGGGAAAAGTTTGTTGCACAAAAAGAGAGATGGGACATAAATCCACAAATCACAAAAAATTATCGCAAAAAGCAAAACACAATACAATAGGACAAGTGTACCTCTAATACAATAGAAAAAAGTATGATAAGTTTATCTCTTGGATATATGATGAACTGATAAGAGTGGTGAAGTCTTTATTAAAAAGTTCTTACCCGCTCAGCGTGCCCCCTCCCCCGTGTAAGTTAAATCAAGTAAGGTAAAAAAATCCTGAAGTTAAATTAAAATACGAGTTAACCTTTAATTTTACCAGAAGCTACACTTGAATTATGAGTTTAAACAAACCCTGCCTTCTTTGGAAGTCAATGTGTAAACTAAAGTCACATTAAACCAATCCACTAATGATGAACATAAACAAAAATTAAACCCTCAAACGTTTTAAAAATCTCTTAAGGTATTCAGCCTTAAAGGTAAATGTAAAAGTCTAACCTGGAGAAACATAATCTAGAAGTCTACTATATTCTACCTACATTACATTAAATGCCAATGATAATATCAAAACATGTGTGTTGAAGGTCTATATGTTTTAATCTGTGATAAATAGAAAAGTCTACAAAAATTCAACTCTTCTAGAGCAAGTCTGGCCTTATGTACGAAAAATAAACTACAAACAAAACCAAATTTACACCCTGACCCACCATCAACAAGAGATCGTGTTTAAAGTATAATGTGTGAAAAGGGTGCAGCTGCTCCTACCTATTACCTAATTTATAATGTGTGGAAAGGGTGTAGCTGCCCCTACCTATTACCTAATGTATAATGTGTGGAAAGGGTGCAGCTGCCCCTACCTATTACCTAATTTATAATATATATATATAATGTGAGAAAAGGGTGCAGCTGCCCCTACCTATTACCTAATTTATATATATATATATATAATGTGAGAAAAGGGTGCAGCTGCCCCTACCTATTACCTAACTTACTGATAAGAAAAACAATCATATCTACCTTACAAGTTATCTTTCTCCCGGGACAACTTGAATATCATCCAATAGTGAACACACGTGCTGTGCGCACTAGTGAAAGGGAAAGTTGAGTAATTTACTTAAATACTTTACTGCGTCAAAACTGAGAACGATGTTATTAACAATAATTAAAATAATTATATATTAAGTAAGGGGAGCTAACACTTGGTACAGTTAATATTGAAATAAATTATTACTTTTATCATAAAGCTATAACTTTATCAGTGAATTATGTAACTCAAGTGTCACAAATAAAAATGTTTCTTGTTAGTCCTAACAGTAACAGTGTAAACATTTCTTCTTTCAGTTTTCATCGATAAAATATTGCAAGAAGATGATCTCGACAAAGACGGATTTTTGACGTATTCGGAGTTTGTTTCAGGTAGATTAAGAGACATTTCAGCTTAAATAGGCTCACTCCAAACTCATGTCTTACCTGGATTAGCCCTATATTTGATTAAACAAAACACTTGAAAGTTAAAGTAGAATTCGTCTGAATTATTCCAGTCACTTAAATATACTGGTCAGTGTTTCACTTTTCTAACACCAGAGGGTTGCGTAACACATTAAAAACCAAAACTGAAAAAAAAGTAAATCGGTTTTTAGGACAAAAACAAGCAAGCTCTAGATTTGTATCTTTAACATAACGAATGGTTGCCAATAAAACAGAATTGCAAGCACTTGGTCTTCAACTAACCAATGATAAACTCGTTAACTGTTAGTCTATTGAATTTTAATCTAATCAAATAAAACTTGCAATTCCATTTTCAAAAAATGGACTTCAACCAATCAAAATCATCATGTTTTCATAAAGTGGCAAGACGGTCGTGGCTTGAAGGTATGACATGGTCAATGAAAATGTGATAACAAGGTCATTAATTGAAAATATAACATGGACAATGTGTGATAAAAAGATCGTTGCTTGAAACTACAACGAGGTCAGCATATGACAACAATGTCGTTCTTTGAAAGTTCAACGAGGTCAATACGTAATATCATGTCATTATTTGAAAGTATATCAAGGTCATATTGTTACAGCAAAATCGTTGTTTGAGAGTATAGCCAAACCACTTTTCTATAACTAAAACGTTGTTTGAGATTATAACAAGGCGATTCTGTTATGAGGAGGGTGTTATTTCAAAGCATAACAAAGTCGTTGTTTGAAAGTATAACAAAGTCATTTTATTATCTCAATGTTTTATTAGTTTAAAATAGGTTTCTCCAACTCGAAACATCGTATAAACAAAAGCTGTTCAGATAAAACTATGTACTTCAACTATAAATCTTGTAAATGCAATACAGTGAAACCCCGATTTAACGCGAATTCGGATATAACGCGATGGGTCATTAACTCCTTCGACACAGGCCCGGTCCCTGGGACCGACCTCGTAACCATAACCTCGTTATAGTTTACATACTAATAACTTTTAATATTTTAAGTGTA